TTTTTCAATTTTTCCTAATAAACAATCGTTGTACAAAGCTCAATAAAAATATTAAAAATAAAAATGTTAACAAGCCACAATAACATTGACAAATACATAGTTTAGGAAGAGCCTGCCTGAAACTATACAAAAAAGCAAATGGATGTATAGAATTGACAACAATAACCACGCTGTCGAGTTTAAATAGCGGCAAATCAGCTGCACTTGATAGTAGTTGGTTGAATAAGGAAAATGAATTAGCAACAAGAGTTAACGGGATGTACATAGCTCAGTGGTTAACGCTTCTGACTTTGAACATCGAATACGCAGGTTGGATCCCTGCTGAATTCTAGAAAAAAGAAGTCTTATGAGGAGATGCGGTGATCTCCGAAATAGTGCTATAACTTCTACCGCTTAGACTTTGTTGCTTTTTCAATTTTTTCTAATAAACAATCGTGGTACAAAGCTCAATAAAAATATTAAAAATAAAAATGTTAACAAGCCACAATAACATTCACAAATACATAGTTTAGGAAGAGCCTGCTTGGAACTATACAATAAAATGGATGTATATAATTGACAACAACAACCACGCTGTCGAGTTTAAATAGCGGCAAATCAGCTGCACTTGATAGTAGTTGGTTGAATAAGGAAAATGAATTAGCAACAAGAGTTAACGGGATGTACATAGCTCAGTGGTTAACGCTTCTGACTTTGAACATCGAATACGCAGGTTCGATCCCTGCTGAAGTCTAGAAAAAAGAAGTCTGATGAGGAGATGTGGTGATCTCCGAAATAGTGCTATAACTTCTACCGCTTAGACTTTGTTGATTTTTTAACTTTTCCTAAAAAACAATCGTGGTACAAAGCTCAATAAAAATATTAAAAATAAAAATGTTAACAAGCCACAATAACATTGACAAATACATAGTTTAGGAAGAGCTTGCCTGAAACTATACATATAAGCAAATGGATGTATGGAATTGACAACAACAACCATGCTGTCGAGCTTAAATAGCGATAAATCAGCTGCACTTGATAGTAGTTGGTTGAATAAGGAAAATGTATTAGCAACAAGAGTTTACGGGATGTAAATAGTGGTTAACGCTTCTGACTTTGAACATCGAATACGCAGGTTCTATCCCTGCTGAAGTCTAGAAAAAAGAAGTCTAATGAGGAGATGTGGTGATCTCCGAAATAGTGCTATAACGTCTACCACTTAGACTTTTTTGCTTTTTCAATTTTTCCTAATAAACAATCGTGGTACAAAGCTCAATAAAAATATTAAAAATAAAAATGTTAACTAGCCACAATAAAATTGACAAATACATAGTTTAGGAAAAGCCTGCCTGAAGCTATACAAAAAAGCAAATAAGCAAATGGATGTATAGAATTGACAACAACAACCACGCTGTCGAGTTTAAATAGCGGCAAATCAACTGCACTTGATAGTAGTTGGTTGAATAAGGAAAATGAATTAGCAACAAGAGTTAACGGGATGTACATAGCTCAGTGGTTAACGCTTCTGACTTTGAACATCGAATACGCAGGTTCGATCCCTGCTGAAGTCTAGAAAAAAGAAGTCTGATGAGGAGATGTGGTGATCTTCGAAATAGTGCTATAACTTCTACCGCTTAGACTTTGTTACTTTTTCAATTTTTCCTAATAAACAATCGTGGTACAAAGCTCAATAAAAATATTAAAAATAAAAATGTTAACATGCCACAATAACATTGACAAATACATAGTTTAGGAAGAGCCTGCCTGAAACTATACAAAAAAGCAAAGAAGCAAATGGATGTATAGAACTGACAACAACAACCACGCTGTCGAGTTTAAATAGCGGCAAATCAGCTGCACTTGATAGTAGTTGATTGAATAAGGAAAATGAATTAGGAACAAGAGTTTACGGGATGTACATAGCTCAGTGGTTAACGCTTCTGACTTTGAACATCGAATACGCAGGTTCGATCCCTGCTGAAGTCTAGAAAAAAGAAGTCTGGTGAGGAGATGTGGTGATCTCCGAAATAGTGCTATAACTTCCACCGCTTAGACTTTGTTGCTTTTTCAATTTTTCCTAATAAACAATCGTGGTACAAAGCTCAATAAAAATATTAAAAATAAAAATGTTAACAAGCCACAATAACAATCACAAGTAAATATATCTCTTTCATATCACATATTTTCATTTGTTAATTTAAAAAGAAAGAAGATCTCAATGTAGTTTAAATACACTGTTTAAAAAACAAAATTTGGTTTATTAAGGGAACTTTTTATGAATTTTACTGAAAATACTTTAAATACACTATATTTTTTTATTCTTTATTTGCGCATATTAAGGGCCAGTTTTTCAGTGCAAGGCCGTGGTTTAAATTAAGTTTAAACGCCCGATCTGGATGGTTTAAACTAAGATCAGCCAATCAAATGCGAGCCAGCTGTTCAATTTAGACTCAGTTTACTTAATCTAAGTTTAAACTGGCACTGAAAAACCAGACCTAAGAGAGGTAACTATTTTCCTCTTTTAATGTGTGCAAGTTGGCACACCGCGTAATAAAATTAAACACTACCTGTTTACTTTAACATACCAAATTTGTCGCAGAGAGGAAAATAACACATAAAATGTTTAAAATAGAGTCAATGTAAGCCCCTAATGTTTATTATTTGTAGGAAATGTATTTTTAGTTTAAAAATTTTTGCATCTTTAAACATTTCATGTGTATATTTCAAAGATCTCAAGTTCTAAATCAAATCCTGAACATCTTATACGTATGTATATTTATACAGATTCCTGTTGAAAAATTGATACTTTTCAGTAGTAGTCTTACACACACCTTTTAGAGTGTACAGGCACAAATGTAACATATTAATTACTATTTATTATACTTACTTTGCAAAATACTTATGCATAAAAAATGTTATTTATAAATTGAAATAACAAATGTTTGATTTTATGAAACATAAAAATATATATACATGTATTCCAAGTCCTCAGGATGGGTTAAATTATGTCTTTTTCTTGAAAATGTTTGATTTTCTTACAAATTATGAGATGGATACGTAAAAAAAGAAAAATGGATACATTTGGATACATTTTTGGCTTGGTCGGTGATATATTTTCATGGGACGGCGTGGCAACACTGGTCACAGGGTCTGCCAAGCGAATAAATTTACCCATGCTTATGGGATAGTTATGTAAAACCTAAGAGAGGGTACGAGAATTACAACCTTTCCTAAAGCTCTAAGCAAAACCAAGCAAAAATCCGCCACAATCAACGAGATTTTAACACCAAAATATTAAATGCGGACTATTAGGATTATTTATTTATTGCTGTTTGTATGTGCGTGTGTATGTATGTTGCACTATTTATGTATGTATTTGCAGAAGATGGTCGCCACCCAACTCAAACCAAGTGCAATGGAAAAATATGTTTAGTAATTTTTGATCCAAGTAATAGTAATTTGTGGACGCAGAACTGGAATTCCAGGAGTGAAAGTGAAATACTTGTTTAAGTGCAATCAAAATAGTGCAGTAATAAATAAGGCTAAGATTTCTCGAAACTCAAACAAGTGTTGTTACTGTGACGAGTTAGCAAATTAAAATAACTGGAATACGAAAAGGTGAAAGCCGACACAATAATAAACTGAACTGAACTGTGTTTTTCAAGCTAAGAAATTAAATAGAAAATTTGTATTTGTGCCGGCGTTTAATTCGAAACAACACTAACAAACTGTAGTGTGTTCTTTTAATAGTTACTGTGCACTTGTGTACTTTATATGTTCACCCGGTTTATTCCAACAAGAACAAGTAAGAAAGTCTGACATTAAATACCCGGCGCAAGTATTATTATGTTTTTCACCTTTCCGCAAGCTACCGCTACATGGTAAGCCAGGGTGTATCAATTTTGAGTAAGTTAGCATCCTTGAATTTCGAAATATTGAAAATTCAAGCATTTCTGAAATTTATTGTTATATGAAAAGCGGCCGTAATTTTAGGCCGATTTCAATAATTTTCAACGCTTTGCTTTAATGTGGCATGCACAATAACCGTACCAAGTTTGGTGCAAATTGGTGGAATGGTTACCGAGATACATATATGTGACAATAAGTGGGCGGTGCCACGCCCATTTTCCAAAATTTTATCATAAACGTATTTCTTGGTAAAGAATTGTTGCAAGTGTCAATTTGAATAAATTAGCTTTAATATTTACTGATTTATCTAAGAATTCGTATTTCTCTAAATTACCCTTATATGGAATGTGGGCGTGGTTATTGTCCGATTTTAAAAATTTTCGGCCATTTGATATGCTGTACCAAGGGCAACAACTGTGCCAAGTTGGGAAGAAATCGGTACAGCGGTTGCCAAGATATACACATGTAACCATAAGTGGGCGTGGCTACGCCCATTTTTCAAAAATTTATAATATTCTTATTTCTCGTCTACAAATTATTATAAGTATCAATTTTGAGTGAATTATTTTCAATAGTTAGTAAAATATCGCAGTTTTCGTATTTCTGAAAATTACCGTTATATGGGAGGTAGGCGTGGTTATTGTCCGATTTTGCCCATTTTCAATACCATCCGTCCTACTCCCGAAAGAAGAACGCGTACCAAGTTTCGTTAAGATATCACAATTTTTACACGAGTTATCGTGTGCACAGACGGACGGACGGACGGACGGACAGACAGTCACCGCTTAATCGATTTCTCTTTTCATCCTGATCATTTATGTATACATTTGTCTATATCTATCTCGATTCGTTTTGCCTGTTACAAACAACCGTTATGTGAACAAAGTTATAATACCCTTGTGCACAAGTGCGCTCGGGTATAAAAATTATTAAGATAAACTGCACCGAATCGCGTTTTTTTTTGTGTATTCCGCGGAGAATTGGTTATGAGCACGGTATCACAAATCGACGTTTATGTTTGTATGTGCAAAAAAGGTGCAGAAATGTTAACCACGTACCTTTGACAATGCTGTTGCTTATACTTTAATGTGTGGTTCCACGACCAGCTGTATATGTATGTGAATACGTGGCGCTTTTGAAAATAGGAAATGATTGCGGCAAGTGTTGGTTGGTGCTCCAGCTATTGTAGCAAAATTTCAGTGGACTGTATTATAGTATGCTGGCTGTTTGAATTTCCTGGCGAAGATGCACCATGTCAACTTGGGTTGCGTATGTGGTCCGCAACACCAGCAGGGCATCTAAGTTTAATTGAGTGAAAAGAAAAGACAAGTTTGTTTGTGGAAATTAATAATTACTTGCTAAAATGTTTATTGAGATCGTTTGGTTATCGGAGAATATTCTACAATATTACCTTGTGGTGTGAGATGAAGGGTGGTGGCTGATAGGCGTCCGTGCTTGCTTGTGATCAAAAATGGAATGAATTGCGCTATTTTTGACTCGTTTAGCCGAACCCTCAAACAGCAAATTGTATTGAGGGGAAATTCGGCTAATTAGTTACATTTATTGGCGGGAAAATAGTCCTGCAGCGCTTTATATGTGCATAATTGTATGCGCTTACATATATATATATATATTTATATATATATATATGTGTGTGTGTGGGTGCACTTACACAATAGGGTGGTTCACCCTTTACAAGTTTGGTTTAGGCTAGTGGCCTAAACATAGCTAAATCAATAGTTTTAACGAATTTAGCTATTTTTTCATTGTTTGTGCTGGTGGGTATGTGTTTTGACAGCCGTTGTCGATAAAAATTAGAGAAGACAACGATTTGTTCTTAATTCGCATGTTGATTGGATCTGAATCATCTACGGATGAAGTGATTCGCTCTCAAAATTTTGTGTGGCGAATTACGTGATTCGGTTCGTAATTGGGGCGCCAACCACGAATGAGTGGGCGAATTACGAATGGGAGAGCGAATCACTTGCCGTGGAAACATCGTTTTAAGGAGGGAAGGTATTTGCGTGGCGATTGATGTCTTGTTAGGCCGTTTAAATGGAATTGCGCCAATGTTTAATACGTATATATATTTCATTTATTTTATAAAATTAATACAATAACATTTATCAAACAGGTGGTAACCCTCCTAAAAATATATTCGGCAGTAAAATTTCCTAAATTTCTTCAGTTTGATACCCATATTGCAATATTCAGTTTATCTTGTAAATTAAATTAAACTAAACATTTAAACAGCCTTACAAGACATCCGAACGCCGCGCAAATACTTTTCCTCCTTTACTCTCATCGTTCCAGTCAAGTGTGAGTCTGATTATGCATACTTCGCATAACTTCGCACAACCATTTGTACCAGTGTAATAAAAATGTAACTTAAGAAAATGTGAGGCAAAATCTGAACTTAACAGATCGCTAAGTTCTTACAAGTTCTGCTAATTTCTGGGTAATGGAAAACATACAAAATACATACAAAGTACATACGAAATTACAGTTGGAAGTTTATGCGAAGTTGTGCGAAGTATGCATAATCAGACCAAAAGCACAAACCAGTTTCTGTAAGCGTAAGTAAACTACCCTCCAGTAGTGCTGGAGTCAATCGCTACATTTGAACCGCTACTGCACCGACCCCTAGATAAGTAGCTACTCTATTAACCCGTGGTAATGCACATGGTAGTGCAGAGTCGAACCAGTCGTAAGCGCAGAGTATTTACTTTGCCTTCCGCAACTACTGCGCGTAAAAGATATTTGCAAGCAGTGTACTCTACTGGTAGTACTTGAGTGTTTTCGAAGAAAACATACATTTGTGGTACCTGAATAAAACTACCCTCCATTACTGCTGGTCAATCGCTACTTTTGAGACGCTACTGCACCGACTACTAGGTAAGTAGCTACTCTATTAACCCGTGGTAGTGCACATGGTAGTGCAGAGTCGAACCAGTCGGAAGCAGAATAGCGAAAAACTACGACAGAGGGCGCCCATAAACCACGCAAGTGAGTACTTTAGTAACTCCCGGTAGTGCAGAGAGAGCCGATGGTGACTACCGCCTAGGGCATTGCCTTGTAAAAGTAATCGATGAACTACAAGTAGTCGGTCGGTAATTGACGGAGTTTACCAGGTAGCTACCGATTCATCAGTTCTATAGTCGCTCCCCCGTACTGCAGGGTAAGGACAGGAATGTACTGGAGCGATGAAGAGAGCGACGGAAATGCTGATATACATACATAAGTAAATATGTATGCATGTATGTGCATAGATATGTATGATTCTCGGTGAGGTTGACTCCTCTGTGTTGCTAAGTCGACTAAACTTTGCAGTTCCGGCTAGGGCATCCAGAAACTACGTGCCTTTCCATTTACCACTTTGTCGTCTCAATTTTGAAAAAAGTGATCCTTTGCGTGTTTGGTGCTCGTACTATAATGACTTGTACAAATGTATTGAATGTTCGTTTTTATTTTTTCTTTTTAATGTAATGTTAAATACATTTGTTAATTTTTAGTTAAGTTTATTTCTGTGTATATCTATAGTTACTGTACTTTTTATACTGTGTCAGTCGACCGAAATTGATGGTCGACTTTAAATAAATAATAATAATAATAATAATAATAACACGTGCATAGTTACGTATGTGCATAGATACATATGTATGTGGATAGATATATATACATAAGTATCCGCATATATTTTTTCTCGCCACTTGCTCTGTCGCTTCACTGCAGCCAAACCAAATTGTGGGGAAACCCCTGACGAAATGCCTACAATTGCAACTTTGGGTTTGAAAATTGCGCAAACTGATGTGAAAATTTCAATTATTGTACCAGAGCTGTGTAATGATGGAATCAATTGAGGGTGCGTTCTAATTTTTTTCGTTTCAAAAATGTGATTGTTTGAATTAAAAAATTTAACAACCATTCTTGAGATTGGTTACAAATTGTAAACACAAAATATGCAGTGTGTTATGGAATGGTTGTCACCCATTCACATAGAGAATGTGAATGCAAAAAAAAACTCCATAATGTATGATTGTACGTTTATGTGAATACAATCTGTCATTATAATTCAGTACTAATACCATGATAAAAACATTTCAAGGTAAATTCATTCTCTCAATTCATCGGCCCTGATTTTTTCTGACGTTTTCCAGCATTTTGAAATCATATAAAATTGAAAATAAAAAACTCAAATTGTTCACAATTGTTGTTTTTTGAGATTGAAAATGAGAAGGTGTGTGTAGTTTGAGTTTGAATATTTAAATTATATTGTTGGCAAACGTCAGACTGCCTCTCAATGGTTTTACCTTGTTATTTTTTTATCATGACTAATACTATTTGTTGTATCAGGGTTGAGATTTTTATTCTATGTGAAACCAGAAGATTGCCATCTCCCTTAAAATAAGTAAGCAAATAAATATTTGGTGCTAAAATATTTTTCTAAGTGTTTGGCCGAGATTCTGCTCAAACTTGAGGCATGAGTTCTGTTGCTGTGGAGACACCTATGTACATATTTAAGGTTCACTCAGAACACTAAATGATTTTATAAGAAGAGTTTTCAAGGCAGCAATATACTCGAAGGTTTGCCATTGCGTGCCGAAGGACGACTGCTATTTTGGGTTATGATCTGACCAGGTATTTAACCATGGTCCTATGGAGTGGAAGTACGCACATGTAATCACTCTGCTACGGCGGCCGCTGTAAGTACATGCTATATATATCGTCGTTTAAAGTACAAAACCGCGTATCAAGAAAATGCAAAGCCGCGTAATTGCATAAATTATTTTCTAGAGAGTAAAATCCCCCATATTTCAAAATGGTTCTCTTTTTTAAAAGCAAACGTATTTCTGGTTAGTATATTTCAGGACGAATGGATAAGAATTGAGCCAAGAGCTTCTGTGAGCAAATGTCAGTTACTAGGTTTTGTAGAATGACGATACGCGGTTTTGTACTTTAAGCGACGATATGTATGTACACATATTAGATTTGTTCTCAAAATGCATGAAAACTATAATAAGCTCGCAAACAATTAATAACATTTTGTGATAAACAGTTTTACAAATGTATTTGTAGATGTAAAGATATTTATGCTTGGCAACTCTTGGACTATTCTTCATTTGTAACAAATGACAGATGTAAACAAAAAAAAATAAAAATTGTAATTTTACAAATTTAAACCAAACGGGCGTTCTTTACAAAAAATGTAGTTAGGGATCGATTGTTTTTTCCAATACCAAGTACTTCCAAGAAGTGTTAAACCACTAAATACCTAAAAAAACGCTTTAAAAAATTCGAAACGAGAGTGAAGTGCAGTGTTCAATTGTGATCGAAATTGCAGGCAAAATTTGTGCGTTTGTAATTAATGTTTTACTTATTTGAAGAACTGTTGCCCCTTGTCATTAAAAATAAGCAAACCAAGACCCCCGCTTCCCACTGGTGGTTACATAATACTTGAGTAGCCCCTCAATTAACATGTGCTTGTTTTGTGCACGCACGGCCAGTTAAACAGGCATGTATCGATTTCCTTCATCATTCTTAGCAATTTGATGTGCATTTTTATTGTTATGTGTTGCAAACAGACATTTTAGGAACTAAATAGGTTCTAAAATCTCTGTACCCAAGCGCAATTATTTTTAACAGTTTCCAGTTTATGTAATATTAATCAAAACAGCTTTTATTTATTTTATGTATTATGTGATTTTTGAAAGCGTAGAAAGCGAGGCTGTGACAGGGTTTATGTAATTTGAAATTGTATTGATGATTAGATACTAATAATAATAGAAAGGCGCTTATATATCGATGGTCCTCTGCAATAACGACACAACTCAAAATTTCATATATTTCAGTAGAGCCAATTAAAGATTTTTTGTTTCGTAATTTAGCAATAATATGTCTTGGAACGTAATTATCCCGGATTATTTGCAGTCATACTGTAAGCTTTCAAATTATGTCTTTTTCTAAACCTGAAATTTTGAATTTTGCCGTTATTGCAGAGGACCACCGACATATGTTAGTGTTTGGCCGAGCTACTCCTCCGATTGTGGCATGCGCCTTGATGTTGTCGCACAAAGGGGAGGGACCTACAGTTTCACGCCGACTCCTGCCGGGGGCCGACCACTTTTACAAAAAACATTTTCTTTTTTTATGTTGGCCGGAATTGGGCTCGAACCCTCACCCTGCGGAATGGTAGTGCGCACTTCTAACCACTACACCACAGCCATCGCTTAATTAATTTTAATCATTAATCACGATTAACCATTTATTCGTTAGTTTTTAATCATTCATAGACTAATATTTTGTCGACAATAGTCGCATAAGATAGTCCCAAATTTTCACAAAAGAGAAAAGTGATTTTCTTCAAAACTTTTGAATGACGTCTTGACTGAACTTACCAATTCGGAATTTCTACTATTACTTATAGAGTAAGCTATTCATAAAGTCTGGGTAATGAATTAAAAT